AATTCGATACATCGATCGACTGATCCACCGTCAGCGAATCAGGCTTTAATTAGTTTTCCGGTCGCTTTGTTTCCGGCGATGTTGGGTATGACTGTGAAGTTGAATGAATGACCTTTTTTCATAGGCATGAACTGCAACTTCCGATAACGCGTCGTCAGGTCGTACTGCCTACTTATGTTCAAGTGTGTGCCATAAAAGCATGCGTCCAGTTTGGCCAGTGTAATTACAAGTGCAGTTTAGGCATGTGATGCGATACACTGCTCCAGATTGCTCATTGGGATTGAGACACTCCGAAATGTATGGAGATGGTGCCTTTGGACAGAGCCCTGCGCAGTCACGTGCAGTCACCTCCGTCGTTGACAGTTGATTGGCACATACCCTATAATTACCCCTTTTCGTTGCTGTTTTTAGTTCTGACGACCCGACGGCCTTTGTTAGTTGATTAATGTATGCCACCTATAATTATTCCATTCTTTGATTTTTTACCACTGGAGAGGAACTTCTGTAAGAGTTTGAAGGTGCAGCTTAATAAGCCGATTGCGCAGGTGCTTATTAAATCTTCTTCCTTACCCATGCAACCACCTGGAACACAAGCTCTCTCATTCATTCCTAGTCACATATTTAGCGTACACACAGGCGCTTTGAATTATTTCTTTTTTCTCTTGTCTCACTTTATGCTTTTTTTACTTTGCTTTCTGGAAACAACCGCAGAACGAGTCAGCTACCGTGAAATATGTCTGAAAACGTCGAACAGTCAGGTGTATTTCATAGCAAATATGTGCACAGGTCCCCAATTTGCTATTCAACCTCCATATACCCTGTGTATTTTATCTCTTACATATCAGTATAGGCATACACCCAAGAATACGAATTGAAAATCTCAAATATTGCTTTTAACATCCTGTATGCAGATATCTGTGTGTCTATGAATACAGCCCATGAAATTAAACCCATCATTGTTCATTTACATGAGACAGTTTACAAAAACGTTTGCCATTACGCGAACAAGTCGTCATTCACTTAACGTCTTCGAGTCTCGCTTTAAGGAACTCACAATACGGCGTCGGATAGGGGATGACTAAAACGCAATATGAATATGGAACACATTTGTGGTGTTACTGTATGCTGTTTATAATAAACATATTTTATACAAAAAACTTCCATAGGCGATAAACGTTGGAAGTGACCCTTGGGATTCCTGTAGGAAGATCTCGTTAGATACAACGTTAAATATCGGTCAGTTTTGATGGTTAGTTTTACACCGTATTGTATGGATACTGCAGCAACTGTGAATTTATCACCCTAGCTGTTTCTGATTATGGGTTTTCCGGAGAAGATAAAGCAGCTTTTCAGGGGAAATTTCTGTTCCGCCGCTCGCAGTGCCCTCTTCGTTAAGTCCGATTAGACGTTTTCCAGTCCAACTTAATTCTGCTCCACGTCAATTTTATCCTGGCGCTCCTTAGTTCCTGAGTTTGGCCTGCATACTTTATAAAAAAGAATTTAATGCACATGGTTGTGGTAATTATATCTAATATACCAAGCTCGTAAAAGAGTTCTGAAATCTGGTTCTATGCTTGGTTATTCTTCAGATCCTCAACGAAAAGCTAGTACTCCTGAAATCCTC